TGTCCTTAGATCTGACGCCCTTCATGATCACATCTCCTTTTTCATTTGTAACCAAGCATTCAAATTCAGTGAAGTTGACATTTAGTCCTTGATCACACAGTTGACTGATGCTAATTAAGTTAGCAGTTAATCCTTTAACCAGCAGCACATTGTCAAGGTCAGGAGCTTCTGAGCAGTTCAATTTTCTAACTCCCTTGATTTCACCTTTGGCTCCATCACCAAAAGCCACATAGCTAGTAGAGTGGGGTTTGATGTCTACTAAGAGATTTTTAATCCATGTCATGTGTCTGGAGCACCCACTATCAAAGTACCAATCTTCCTTAGCAGAAACTTTAAGGGACATATGAGTTATCAAGCTTGTAGCAACAGCTTTAGGAACCCATTGCTTTGTAGCAGGAGCTTTAGGAACCCATTGCTTCCTAGTAGAACGAATGTTGTGATTTGGTCTAGTTTGAGGAATAGGTTAAGGGTGTCCATGCAGTCTGAAGCAGAAAGGCTTTATATGACCAAAACATCCACAATAATGACATTTCCATCTTCAGAATCTTCTTCTTGGGTGGTTGTGTTCACCTCTGTCATGATGTTGAGACATCAGATGAGACATCTTTCGCTTAGATCCAGAAGGATTATGGTGTGATGATGGATTACAGTCTGAAGGTGGTTTCTTTTCTTCATCAAACCCTAACCCTGTCTTATCTCCCGCCCTTCTTCCAGATTGAAGGATCTTATCCAGGGTGTTAATACCAATATTCATCATTCTAATAGACTTGCCCATTTGATCAAGTTGGGAAGTCAGTTGAGGAACTTCATCATTCAATTCAGTGATAGTTTTAAGGTGTTCTTCCTTTTCAGCCTTCAGTTTGATTATGAGTTTCTTCTGCTTTTCTCCTTGATGACACACTTCTTCACTTCTAAGACACAGCTCTTTGTAGGAAGCTGCAAGTTTTTCAAATGTTAATTCATCTTCACTTGAGTCTTCATCAGAATAGTATCTTCCAGTCAAAGCAGTCATGTGTTTAGTAGACTCTTCTTCAAGGTCATTGTCAGAATCCTCATCAGTCCAAGAGACATCAAGACTTTTCTTTTGTTTCTTGAGATAGGTAGGGCATTCAGTTCTAATATGACCAAATTCTTCACATCCATGGCATTGAATCCCTTTGCTTTGGGTGAATTTTTCTTCAGTCCTGGTTCTTCTACCTGCATCATTAGACCTACTGATGTCATGAGAGTTGTTCTTGACATTTGGTCTTGACTTCATATTCATCCTCTTCATCACCTTGTTAAACTGTCTTCCAAGAAGCACTATGGCATTAGACAAGCTTTCATTAGTATCCTCATCAGACTCATCCTCTCCATTTTCAGTATTTGACATAAAGGCTGTGCTCTTTTTCTTATCAGTTTTGTCACTTATTCCCCCTTCAAAGGTTAAAAGAGATCCAATAAGTTCATCAAGCCTCATCTTGAAAATCATGTATGCTTTCATTGTCTTTCATCCTTAGGTTTTCAAATTTTGTAGTTAGCAGTTGAAGTCTTGACATCTTTACTTTAGAGGTACCTTCATGAGTAGTTTTGAGTATCTCCCAGACATCTTTAGCAACTTCACAGTTGTTCACCAATCTGAATATATTTCTATCAATTCCACTAAACAAGGCATTCAAGGCTTTGGACTTACCAAGAGCCAGTTCATCCTCTTCCTTTATCCATTCTTCCTCAGGCTTCAAGTCAGATGTAGCCTTTCCATCTTCCCCAACAGTCACAAGATGTTCTCATCCTTTTATAACAGCTTTCCAAGTCTTACTATCCAATGATTTTAAGAAAGCAACCATGCGAGGTTTCCAATAATCATAATTACTCTCATCCAGAACAAGTGGTCTGTTCACAAATCCTCCTTCTTTGTCCATAGTACCAGAAAATGTCGTCCCTAGATCTCACCCATAACCAGAGTAGGATGCCTGCTCTGATACCAATTGAAATTCTGGTATCAGATATGAGATGTCGAAGGCGATGTCACGACACTAATATCTGAACTATTACCAATATATGAATAAAAAAGATGTTAACAATAGTAAATAGACACAAGCAATTTTTAACCCAATTCGGTGCAAACACACCTACGTTTGGGAGCTACCAAGCCAGGAAGGAAATTCACTAAGTAGAATTAGTTTGAAGATACACAGTAGACTCTCTAGTTTACCATCTTCGCACCTAATCTCTACCCTTGCAATTTCTACATAGGACACTCCTAGATATGAGATACCTCTCACTCCCCCTCAATCACAACAATGATAACAACAGATGAATAAACTGTAGAATGAACTCTTCAAAGACAATACTTGATCTTGCTTAAAAGCTTCAATCAAGAACAATACACTCTTGCTTACAAGCTTTGAGTGAACAACTTACAACACAAAAACTCAGTCCAATTCACACATCAAGGTGATGAGTGATTGGCTCACAAATAACACAAACACACGAAGCTAAAAGTTTTATTCCTTACACAATGCACTAACTTAACCCTAGCTTCTCTAATCTTTAAAATAGGATTGTGAAGACTATATATAGTAACACTTTGAATGGGCTTGGGCTTCAGCCAATAACAGCTTCTGATTTGATAGAATCAATTCAGATAACTCTTTAAATCTTTTCATAATAACCATCAAGGAAATAGTGCCAAAACAGATTTAATCAAATCAAATCACTCTTCAAATCTTCAAGATTTTCTTCATAAAATAGCACAATTGATTTCATAATTTCTCCAAGAATTATGCACAAAAACTCTTTTTGAATAAGGACTATTTCCACGCAGATTTGAGCCACTAAAACTCTAAACAAAATAGCGCAGAGAGTTGCACAAAAACGCAACAGTCAAACCAACACATTTTCACTGAATGTTCTGTTCACGAATGTCAGGACATCATACTTGACATCATGAACTAAACCCTGCAACAATAAAAATAACCACATGCAGAATGTTAAGAACATATGTCAAGACATCCTGTAGGACATCTTGTGATGTCACCAAGTTTTACTAAAATTCCTGCCAATCAAGAACTAACAATACTAACAGAAGAAGTTCTTCCACGATATGAAACAATTCTATTAGGACAAACCCCTTCTCTTCAAAAGAGGCGCCGATGGCATATTTCACCGTTGTGTACCTGAGGAGGAAATGGAAAGTATTATAATTCACTGCCACTCTGCACCCTATTGATTTTTTAGGAAGCACTTGATAGCATGGAACCAAGTTTTACCATCTACCATTTCTTCGGGTGCAAACACATGAGCGGGTCTGTCGAGGCGCATAATTTTGATCGCAGGTACCTCGTTCCACCGATTCACCTTATACATGGATGACAATGTTTCTAGTGCATCGGCCATCTAATTTTTTGTCCGGGGTACGTGATGAAATTCAACCTTGTCAAAGAAAGTCAACAATCTTCTTGCATAGTCCGTGTAAGGTATTAGGTTGACCTGACGAGTCTCTCAATCTCTCTTGATCTGGTTGATAACAAAAGTTGACTCACTGTATACATCAAGGATCTTAATCCTTAAGTCAATAGGCTCTTCCAGCCACATGATACAAGCCTCATACTCCGCCAAATTGTTTGTACAATCAAATGTCAATCTTGCGGTGAATGGGATATAAGAACTCTTATGGGTGATGATGATTACCCAAATTCCCTTGCCATTAACAGCTCCATTGAAAAAAATATTTTTTTTATTTTTCAGATATATTTTTTTCAAAAAGAAGTTTTTCTTAAACTTTTTATTTTTTAAAAAAATAATAAAAATAAAAATGTTTTTGTCCAAATTTAAAAAAAAATTATTCTGAATTTTTTTTAAAATATGTATTAATTAATTTTTTGGTGCTTTCTAAGGTGAGGTGGCAATTATATGCCTTACAAATACACTATTGGATTTAAAGAATAGTTCAAATTTACTAAAAATAAAATTGAAACAACTAAATATTTCCACACACAATTGTGGGTGGGTGTGCTTGGTTAAACCCTGTATCAGCAACTATAAGATTTCACCATTAAATTAAATACGTTTATAATTTTCTTAACTATTATCACATTGAAATTATATATGCCACATTGTATCCATTAGAAAAACGAATTAGAAGTTGACACCATATAAAAATAAAACAAAAGTTATCAAAATAGAAATGAACACAGAAAAGAAAAAATAACAATGCCAAGGATAATGATAAAATGAAAAAGTCCCTACAAAAGGAGCTTTTCAACACATACGAATAATTTTTCATTGAAAAAAATTTTCCGAAAATTTTATAAAAAAATTTCTGAATATTTATTTTTTTCTCAGAAAAATAAAAAATTAAATTTTTATTTTTAAAATAAAAAAAATTAGTTTTTTGAATAAAATTTTTCAAATATAACAAAAATATTTTTTTAATTAACATTTTTTTAACAAATTAAAAAAATTAGTTTAAAAGAGTTCAAACTATAAATTTGGTTTATAATTGCAAACTAATTATAAACTAGTTTATAAATACAAATTAATTCTAAATAAATTTTAAACTGAATTAAAACTATTTTACCAGTTAACTGTTATAAACCACATCTAGTTAACTTGTAAGATACCCTTTCTTAACATGAATAAACCACAGTATTTACTTAGTAATCTATTTAACGGTTTCACCAATAACTTTATTGTACTTGTACAATTTACCACCACCAATGACATACTCACATCTAGTTGTATCCATGCTATAAGACAAATCACTACAATTGATAAATAAGACAAAATTACAAATTTCCAATCAAGCTTTTATGGCTAATAAATGGAAGGACCACACAGCAGCAGGTTTCATCAAAATCTAACCATATCCATTCTTCCCACCATCCCATCCAAATTTTCCACCACTTAAACAAAAAAGTGAAAAATTTTCTATACACATAGGGTTAAGTATATTCATATATAGTTACTGTTTAATTACACCATCTCTTGTTTGGCCAATCTTCATTGAATTCTGTATAATGCCAGGAACCATCCTGGTTTCAGGTACTAAATTTTATGTAGTATGTAAAATTTAAGTATCTTAGTAATCATGTGATTTTGTATTTAGTTTTATTTATTCATTTTTTTACAGTTCTTGAATTCATGGATCTTCCATTTTCTTCATCAACACCAATAAGAGGTATGCAATTGTTCTTACTTTTTTTTAATTTGTCCTTAATTTCTCTCTTTTATTAACTTTGAACTAAGTGTTTGATAAATGCAGCTTCTATGGGGAAAATTGAGTACCAAATCAGTGACAAAGGAAACTTTTCCTTGTAAGATTAATTCAGAAACTCTTCATCTTGTTAGGTTATACCAATTTCAATGCTGTAATCTGTTTGTTTTTATGTTTCAGTCCCATAGCTAGTCTCCGTGACGATTTGGTTTTTAAAATTCATGATTCCGAAGGGAATGAACTATCGCGTGCAGGTTATAGTTATCTTCAATTGATAAAATTGTTTAATTAATATTTTCAAATTTGATCGAAGATTAAATGTTTCTAACATGATGCAGTAAATAACTGGCAGGAGTATATATCAGAATGATATTAGAGAAAGGTGTTTGGGAAGACACGTTTCCGCTCGGGGAAGGATACTTGCATTTGAAACTACAGGTTGTACTAAGCAATGAAGAGCGCGACAGAATTCGAATGATGGTACTCATTTCTCAAGTTTCTTAAACATTGCAAATTAAAGGCCTTGGTCACTTTGTGTGCAAACTAACTTCACTTCTATGATTTATTAGAGACAATCGGCATCAAAGAAAAAACAGGATGGGCTTCTTAATAGTAGTCAAAGAGGTGCAGAAAGTGAAAGAAATATGATTATTGGTAATGCGGTGTTACCTTTCCGCGCTAGTGATGAGGTCTCAGGTTTGATCTTACTTATCTGATTATAGAAAAATTGACATTTAAATCTGAAATGAAATGATAAAATAACAGAAGAATGTTTGATAGTTATGAATTTGGTCCTACATACATTCCCTCAAAGGCTTTTTCCTGATGTTTTAAGTGCTCCATCTTCTCAAGAATCATCACCAAAGCAATACCTTCAACATGAAGAAGTTTCTCAATTACGAAGTCCTGTTCATTCCTCCGATGACAAAGAAAGTTCCACTACGAATGCTGCTGAGGCTGAGCTTGAACAGAAACAGCTAAACTCAGTTAAGAATTAATCAATTTTCCGCAATCTCTTTCTATGAGGCACTGACACTTCGGTTTAAAGGTGTGTCTGTGACAAAATATCAACATTAATCACTTTCCTTTTCTTAAATTACTACTTGTGTCTATGTGTTATTGTCATGTCTTGGAACTTGGATTTGCTGCAGTCAAGGGATCTGTGACCATCTGATCTATCAGTGATTGCAGGGAATTCGAGTTCCATACCTTGTGTCTGTTTCTGAGTCAGTGATTCATATGTCTCTTTTCATCCCAACAAGAAGACATTGGAAAATGTACTATTGTTTGTTTAATGGTCATTTTACATGTTTTAGAACATTGCAGATCAATATAAGAAGACCTCATCAATAAAACCTGTGTCGCAAGAAGTTAATCTCATCCAATTACAGCATGGAGTTAAGAAGCCTGCCAATCAGTCAGCATCCGAGAATCAGCCTCGGAGAGCTACTGGTTCAGAAGAAATGGTGATTTTTTTAAGCTCTGAAAAAGTTAATTCCTCAACAAATAATCCAATACAAGATAATCTAGAGAATGACAATCTTCCAAACTCGGAGAAGAAGGCTCACCTAGGAAGATCTCCTAGCAATGTTAAGAAAATGATAAGTGCTTTTGAAAGTGGTCTACCTAAGGTATATTTAGTCCTGTTTGAATTTACATATCTGAGTTTATCTGCTAGCATAATCACATGTAAGATTGTTTGGAAGAACTTCAAGAAACTACTTAAGACATTTATAACTACTCTTAGGATTTCTAGCTTATATGAAAACAATTTGATTTATTCTATCTTTTGATATAGATATAATTTATACATAAAGCACATGATATGCGCTTATGCTATAAGCATTGGACTAAAATGTTCATCCAAACACGGCATAAGTGTTGTTCACTTGTGCTGTTATAGTATGATCAATACTTTATTGCAATTTTTTCAACAAGTGAATCTTGACAGGATATGAGGCCTAATATTAAACCACCTCCAACGAAATATCAAGTGAGTCCAATTGAAAAGAAAGATTCTTCTGATACTCGGCATTTCGAGCAAGATAAGTCATTGAACATAGAGCCGATAGGCTTCTTAAAAGAAAAGTTGAAAAGTGCTTCTTTGGTAAAAGACTTAAAAGAACTTCCAGAAAATATTGAAGAAAGTAAAGAGCAAATTCATATACCGAAAAGACGAATAGGTTCAAATGCAAGAAATGAAGATAAAGACGAAGAGACAAATAAAAATGCAGCACATATTGAAACTGTAACTGATGGAAGCAAATATGAAAAGATACATGACATAGCAAAATCAAAAACCCATACTTCTGATGATGATAATGGAGATGAAAATTCTGGAGGACCATTTAATCAGGTTAACATCAATTTTATCAATGTTTTTATATTTGCAACAGTGGTCCAAATTTGGTCATTGATTTTGTATGAACCATGTTGCATTTCAGTATCATGTGTCTAGTTCAGGTTTTTCTTTAGTGACATTTCACACTTTCACATCTCAGGTAATAAAAGTTGCAATCATCATAGGCTTTGGATTTCTTGTTCTCTTTACCAGACAAAGAAATAAGAGGTACTCAAATTATACTACTTTATTATTTTACTTGGTCGTGGTCGCGTAAGGCTTTTGCCATTTCGACCGGTTTCTTTTTTATTATAAAACGGTGAATAAAGGTATCGGTATAAGTACCTTCTGACACCATTTTGTCGCGGTAACAGCGCTATTTTAAAACCTTGAAATTTCTCATGTTAAACTAGAACTTTTAGAATTAGTGTCTATGAGTATGTATTCTGTACTAGTGACAAATAACATGTTTTTAACTTTCTGAATGTACAAGAAGGAAGGAGAAGCGTGCTTGATTATCAGTTCAACAAACCTCAAATTCTTCATTTTTTTGAAGCACATACATCTGCATGATGCTGTTAACTTTCGAGTTTCAGATGATGGATCAAATATTTTGCATGAATTGAAACCATGAGATTGCTGAGATAATTGAATCCTTCCAAAACAAGAAACACAAACACAAATATTCATTTATGTTGAAGGGACTTTGGGACTTAAGAGACTTGACAACAGTTAGTTGAAGTTCAAGGTTGAACTTTGTAACACTAGGCCTTTATTTCATCATAGATTTTGTGTTTCATCACAATATTTCATTTTATTGTTTTGTTTGTTACCTTGATTGTATGTCAATTCTTCCATTCATTTTTCAAACATAAACAATTTAGATTTAAAAAAATCACATGTGGAGATGTCAAATGAGTGTATTTGAATAGTGAAGTGTTTACATATAAGGACTCTTTTCTAAGAATAACAAAAATGTCATTGTATTTTTTAAACTATACTTCATTTTGAAACTTGTTCTATGAGAACAAAATGTATTTGAACAAAACTTAACAATTATATTTGAACAACATAATATACAATTCCACCATTTATTGCTATCAATTACAGAATGATTTTTTGACATACAAACACTGCAATATTGCACAATACATATAAAAATATGCATCAATCAACCGTATAGTTTTAATCATAAATTTACATAAGATAAAAAAAGAAAAGATTAAGAATATGTCACACCTAAAATATGTACGAACTTTAACGTGTAAATATTATCTATAACTTCGGCATGGTGCAAAGACTTTTTAGATCTAATTGTTCCAAAGATCAATGCATTAAGTCGTAATCAGATAGGATCTAAATACAAACTTTTTATAATAAAAGAAAAATACATAATGGTTTTTAAACAAGACATTCAGAAGGAGGTCCGTGTAAAAGACGTTTAGTATCAGTACAATAATTATAAATCATATAATTCTTTTGCGCCCATTGAACTTTAACTATCCCATTTGAGTCCAACGATTCTCTTAACCATGATTGGGTCGATGAAGATGATGGAGATTTGTTGGAAGAACAAGAAGAACCTGAAGAAGTCCAAACACAAATTTGAGGGTTGAAGTTTCTATATGTGGCTGTGAATGGGGTTTGGGCCCAGTCAGTTTTCACAAGCCCACCTCGTGTGGCCTAATTCTCAGCATCCCATAGACTAGAATATATTCTGAAAGGTTGGTTCTTTGGAAAATCATCCCCTTTGGATTCTAAATTCTTGAATTCTCTTATTGGTATATATATATATAAAGTGTAGATTGATAACTATTAGTAGAAAATTTTACCTCATGCTTTTATTCCTATACTCTTATATTTTATTAAAAAATATTAATTTTGTCTTGTATATTTTTAACTATATTATTATTTTACTTTTTAAATATTTTTTAAATTTATTTTATGTATCAGAAAATTTTACAAAATAGTTTTGATAGTTATTTTTAAGTATTTTTTAATTTTTTTGTACCGGAAGATTTTGCAAAAAAGTTTCGGTAATTATTTTTAAATTTAAAAAAAAAATGATGTATCATAAGATTTTGCAAAATAATTTCAGTAATCAATTTTTGTGTATCAGAAGATTTTGCAAAAGAGTTTTGATAGTCATTTTTAAATTTTTTTGTGTGTACCGGAAGACTTTGCAAAAGAGTTCTGGTTGTCACTTTTAAATATTTTTATATGTATCGAAAAACTTTGCAAAAGAAATCTGATAGTTATTTTTTGTGTACCGAAAGACTTTTTAAAAAAGTTTTGGTAATCAAGTTTTTGTATGATTTTACAAAATAGTTTTGATAGTTAATTTTTGTATTTGCTGGACCAAAAAAGTAAATAATATTGGCTTTGCTAGAACAAAAAAGTAAATAAATAATTGGCCCGAAGGATCAATCATTGTGAAATTTTCGCCTCCTATTTGTTGAGTTATTTTGGGTTTTTATATTTTCTCTATGTATGATAAATTTAATGTATATAATGATTGGATTTGCTAGACCAAAAAAGTAAATAAATAAATAATGATTGAATTTAAATGTGGTAAATTGAAGTAGAGGGATCATATTGATTGACTAAGCTAGTTGAGTGTGGGGATCGTGAAAGCCAGCAAGTTGAGGGATAATATCAAAACCTTCTAACATCAAATCAATTTGGCTGATGTCTAAATCTTGAGGGTATAATAGTTCTTAGTTAATTTCTTCACGAATCAACATATTATTATCATATTCTCGATAAACATCACTTATTTGATTACATTCTGAGGCTAGCAATTAAATATACAGTTACGCTTTGAAACTAGATTTTTAACACTCAAATTTAACACCATACACCATTTATCGCATAGTATATATATATATATATATATATATATATATATATATATATATATATATATATATATATATATATATATATATATATATATATATATATATATATATATATATATATATATATATATATATATATATATATATATATATATATATATATATATATATATATATATATATATATATATATATATATATATATATATATATATATATATATATATATATATATATATATATATATATATATATATATATATATATATATATATATATATATATATATATATATATATATATATATATATATATATATATATATATATATATATTTGAAGTGTTTTTTTTTTTATTTTTATAAATTTGTGGTATTTTGGAACGTGTATGATGTAGTTAAAGTCAATTCAAACATGCAATAGTCAACGATATGTATAATGTAGTTGAAGTCAGTTTGAACATGTAAATGATTTAGTTATATATATAAATATGGTTATGTACTTTATTGGTAGTGATGCACATGGGTTTTTAATGAGGAGTCTCAGGTTATTACATAAGTTTTTGAAATATTATTGTTTCATTTTTGCAAGAACTAAAGATTTCAATGGAGAATCTATCGAACTGTCCATGAGGCAACGAGTTATGTTAGATCTTAATGGAGGAATCTTTGTTGCTCCTAGAGGCAATATCATATGCTTGATCCTTATGGAGGAATAATTTCTGCCCACATAGACGATAATTTACGTTGGATCCTCATGGAGGAGTCCTTGCCGCCTATAGAAACGATAACTTACATTGGATCCTCATGGAGAAATCCTTGCCATCTATAGAGGCGATAAATTATGTTGGATCCTCAAGGAGGAATCCTTGTTATCCAAGAAAAAACATTTGCGATGTATCTTTATAGAGAAATCCTAATCCTAAGAATCCACATAAGGCCAAAAACTTGTTCAAAGTATTTTTTAGACAGAAGAGAAATAAGTTAAGGCATGAGAGCTCATAATTAAATCAAATCCCAAAGGGTTTAAAGAGTACTAAAATCCCTTAAAGGGAGTTGTTAATCATGACACAAGAACCCTTAAGGGTAGAATTACAAAAGGATGCAAATTGGCATAACGTCAAAGCCACAAGCTTAACAACCATCCTCCTAGGACCGCATTTTCTCTAAGGCTATCTAATGATGAAAAGCTTCCTCCTTGGGAGTTTATTCCTTCACTGCCTTGTCTTGCTAAGGCTCAATTTGGGCGCCCTCATCAAGAGACGCGTCAGACTTCTCAAGAGGTAAAACCTATTATTCCTCCACTAATTATTCATCACAAATTATTTTGAAAAGATCCATTTGAATCAGGTCCAGCTCAAGGTAGAGGAAGGTCACCCGCACCTTCGACCCCTCAAAATATAAGTCATAAGTGTCCATTAATTCCTTCTTAAGATTGGGTAACAACTCCTTCATGTTCTTCTTAAAGAAAAAGGCATCCTCAAGGGACTCCTTCAAGCTATTCACTAAGAGTGAGAGAACGCGGGGCTTTGACTCCACCACTTCAAGTTAAGTTGTCAGTTTTTCCTTCTCACTGATCAAGTTTTTCAATATTGCCTGACTTTTGGAGAGATTTCCTTAGGAAGTAGAGAGCTTGGACTTCAGCTAACTCACAACTTAGGCGTTTTTCTCACATTGAATTTGTTTCGTCAACAAGACCCTCTGCAAGTGATGATCTTTTAATTAGAAAAACTTATTTGGCACCTTATTACCAATGACCTTATAAATACCCGGGAAATCTTTACTAAAAGGGAGGTCGACGAAAGTGAATTTTATGGCATCAAATGTGGGATCGTTCCACATGGAGGATAGAGAGGCATGTCATTCCCAATTGGCAAAGAATACACATCCATCTTATCCTCCTCATAGGTCATGGTTGAATTATCCTTTAGTACTGTTATAACAGTGGTCAAGTGTCGGGTTTTTGTTATCATCTCCACAGGGAATATGAGATATTGCCGCCGTTCGACAGTTGTTAAATTTGTAACTTTATAGTAACAAAAGGTTTGATTTTAAAGTAACGGTAGCTTTGCATATAAGTAAGAAATGCGATAAAATAATGGTTTGACGGTTTAAATAAAGATTGCCAAAGTTAGGGTTCGGTGATCGCTTTGCATGCATATGTTCGATCAACAAGATTCATAAACTCCATTTAGATGATAAATACATTCACAACATCCTCTCAATGTGATTATTTCTAACTCACATTGTGGGTTTTGCCATTTCGATCCATTGTTGATCTCTCACAGAATCTATCAAAATGACAACATTAAAGTTTAACATTTTAGGTGAACACCTTCATTCATAACTATCTCTAGCTTACAAACAAAGATGGATGAAAACCTAGTTTAAGAGTTGGAAAATATCTTTCAATCATAAACCAACACAAAGAGTTATCATAAAAGCAAAGTTTTCACCATATATTCATCATCCAAGAGTTTACAAATGAAGATCAATACATTTACATACAAAGCTTGATGATCTCCTACATCTAACCTTGACAAAAGATGAACTTAGCTACTCATTCTCATGGGTAGCTTGAACAAGAAGAAAATGGAGAAGATGAAGAACATCCACTTCAAAGGATTGATGATGGATGTGTTTCCACTTCTCAAGA